TGGCGTGGTGTGGCGTGGCGTGGCGTGGCGTGGTGTGGTGTTGGAGATGGCAGCGTGAGGGAGCCTGCTGCACGAGCTTTGCCCGCTGCATGACAGACACAGCAGAGTAGAGCACCGCCTCACCTGCTGCCACACCTGCTGCCACACCTGCTGCCACACCTGCTGCCACACCTACGCCGCCCCGCAGAGCGAGTACAGCGCTGTGCGGGAGGCGTGCAAGGAGATGGGGGACCCGGGCGCAGAGTGTGAGTGGGCAGGGGTGGTGGTGGTGCCATGCCTGTGCTGTGTGCGACATGCGGCGGTCTTGTGTGCATGCCTCACAGTGCCTGGCATGCACCGCCCGCGTGTGCCCCCTCCCCTTTCCCCGCGTGCAGACGCGCCGCCCATCACGTTTGTGGTGGTCCAGAAGCGCCACCACTCCCGCATCTTCCCCATGCCACAGGACCAGCAGAACCGGGACCGCAGCGGCAACGTGCTGCCCGGTGAGCGGGCGCCTGGCTGGGTGCCACAGCGAGGGCAGGGTCTTATGCGACTGCAGCCCTTTCTTGCCCTGCTGGCCCTGCTTGGCCTGCTGGCCCCACCGCCTGCTTGCGGTGCTGCCGACCGGCTGAGCGGCCGCTCCCGTCGCCCCTCCCGCCCTGCTGTGCAGGCACCGTGGTGGACAGCGCCATCACCCACCCCTTTGAGTTCGACTTCTACCTAAACAGCCACGCGGGCATCCAGGGCACCAGCCGCGCCACCAAGTATCACGTGCTGGTGGACGAGAACAGGTTCAGCGCAGACCAGCTGCAGAGCATGGTGTACAAGTGAGGCGGGGGCTGGTGGTGGTGGTGGTGGGGGGGGGGGGGGGGGTGCTGGGCGGGAGAGCAGGGGTCCGAGAAGGCCCGAGCCTCCGGCTGCCTTCCAAACAGCAGCCCTGTCGCAACCACCTCCCCAGTGAAGGAGGGCCCCTCGGCCACCACCACCACACCGCTTCACCCACCCCAGCCAGCCAACACCCCTGGCCCCCACCCCCCCACCATGCTCTTCAGGTCCACAATGATCTCCTGGCGCCCCGTCTGCATCGACACCCGCGCCGCGTAGCGCGTGGCCGAGGCATCCATGCTGCCCACCACCGCCTGCGCTGGGCGGCGGTGCAGGGAGGGAGGCACGCGGTCGGGCCCGAGCTTGCGTGCTGACACAGCTGGGAAGGTGGGCATGCTGCGGGGGTCGAGGCTGAGGAGCGGCAAGCCCGCCCTGTCTCCCGGGCGTGCCTGCCTCCCTGTGCAAGCCCACCCTCCCCACACACCAACCCACCGCGATGGAGGGCATGTCCTCTCCGCCCATGGGGTGGGTGACATCCGCCTGCGGGGCCAGGGCCGGGGGGTGGAGAGGCAGGCAGGGGGGGTCAAGCCACTGCCAGGACCAGGCCCATCCTGGGGTCACTGGTGTCGGCAGGAAGCAGCAGTCAGTGGGTCAGCCATTGCTTCGATTGCACCCCGCCCAGCAGGCAGGGGCTGGCCCCCGCCCCTCCTGCGGCACTCAAGGGGGCGGGCGGCTCCATGGGGGACGGCAGGCCACAGCTCCAAGGGCAGACAGGCCCTGCTTCCACCATGGAACTGCACCATGCACCCTTGTCTGCTGCAGGAGGTCCGTGAGCCCCACGCCCCCACCAGCGAGGCCACGGTGCAGGAAGGGGCTGGCTGGTCGCCGACGCTGGCCTCCCGGAAACAGAGCAGGCAGCGACCCGGCAGCGCCAGGCGGTCGGCCTCATGTTTGCACCAGCAGGCTCCAGCAGGCTCAGCGTGGCCAGCGGGGGGACCTACCCCCAACACCATGAAGGGCCTGGGCCCAAAGGGCGGCGCCAGGGTGGCCATCGGCTCCGCCAGCTTCACGTTGCACCCATCCAGCTTGGCATTCATCTTCATCGCCACGTTGGCGCAGTCTGCGCACGGCGGGCAGGCGCCACAGGCGGCGGCAGCGGCGGCAGCGGCGTCACGGGACCGCCAGCCGTGCGCAGATGCAGCGGCCAGGTGCACCGCTGCCGGCGGGGCTGCCACGGCTTCGCGGCCTCCTGCGGCAGGCGGCGTCGGCTCACACTGGGGGCGGCCGCGGGCGGGGAAGCCGATGCCTGCCTTCTTGGACACCACGCACTGGGAGGGGATGCCCAGCATCGAGTCCCCTGCCTGCTTCACCTCCTTGTACAGCTGCTGGCCTGCGGCAGAAGGAGGGGAGGGAGCGGCAGCAGCAGGGGAGTAAGGTCCGGCGGGTGGATGCAAGTCTGTAGGCAAGCCGCTAACAGGGCTCGCCGCACCAGGCCCTGCGAGGCAAGCCCCTGGGTGAGCCGACATCCTTCCCAGCCACGACAGCCACCCTCCTACCCGCCCACCTGTGTCGGGCAGCACCACCAGCACGAGCTGGCAGGGTCGGTTGAAGGTCTGGCGTGCGGCCTCGGCGGTGCGCCGCATGGTCTCCGCGGGGGATGCGTTGCGGGGGGCCATGATGCAGGGGGGCAGCGGGTTGGTGGGGGTCAGCACGCCGCAGGCATTCAGCATGTCAATGAATTCCTGCGGGGGCGGGTAGGGTGCAGGGTGGGTGGCCACCAGCACAGAGCAGGCGCGCCGCCACGCCAGCCCTGGCAGGCAGGCAGCACTCGGGGGAACCTGCCCGGCACGGCTGCCATCTGCGCCGGCGAGCCAGGCAGCCACCAGTGGCGCCGCGCGGCCCACAGCGCTGCGCGGGCCTGGCAGGCGTGCCTTGATGAAGCTTGGCCCGCCTCGCTCCGCCTGGGTGCGGGTCAGGTCTGCCTCGGCGAAGCGCGGGTTGGCGAAGCAGGCGATGCCCCAGGAGCCGAGCTGGCTGCCGGTGAGGAACTTGACGTCGCGCAGGTTCCAGGAGCCAAAGCCCTGCGCCGCGCAGCGCACACGCGGTGTGGCAGGGGTGGCGTGCAGGCGGAGACGGGAGCTGCCGGGTGGCAGGCGGCAAGGAAACGGGGCACGCAGCCAGCCTCCCCCCCGGGCCCCGCTTGACTGCAGCATGCAGCCTCCCCGGCCGCACTCTGCCCGCTGCCGCAAACGGCAGGCTTGCCTTGGGGTCGTAGTTGGCGGGTGAGCCGTAGCTGAGGCGGGGGTTCTGGAGCACGCGCGCCTGCACCTCCATCTGGCGCCCATCCACGCGCAGGCCAAAGCCCTGCATGGGGGGGGGGGGGCGAGGGGGGGGCAGGGTATCACCCGCTGGGCTGCACACGAAAGCAGGTGGCCGCTGATGCTACCATGCTTGTGCTGAACAAACGATCGCCGCCGGGTGCTTGCATGCTCAGCCCCCGCTGCTACCCAGCATGCCTTGCCTTCATATTGGGGTCCTTGCCAAAGGCGGCCTGCACAGCAGGAGATGGTCCCAGGGTGGGGCTGAGGGTATGGAAGAAAGCTGGCTAGGTCAGAGCTGGTCAAGGCAGCATAGATGAGAGCCGATCGCTCCTCCCGACGTGTATTTCGGTCGGTGCGGCACGCGCAGCCAGCCAGGCTGCCTCACCCACCTTTTGGTCAACCACTCGGTCGATCCAGCGTGCCTTATCATCTGGCCTCTGCAGGGTGCAGCAGCAGGGGCAGCTCAGCCAGGGCCAGTACTCAGCAGCAGGAACAGCTGAGCCAGGGGCAAGTACCCAGCAGCAGCCCGCGGCACACATCCCGGCCGTCAGCCAGCTACACCCCACCCGTCTGCCCCGCACAACCTCAGCCGCGGTGGCTGCCTGGCGGGCACCAGGGCGGGCATCACCTGCGCCGCCGTCTTGATCATCTCTGCCGTCTGAAGCTCTGTCAGCTTGGAGCGGCGCTGCAGGCAGGGGAGTAGGGTGTAGCACAGCCAGCACGGCACGGGCAGTCTGGAAAAAAAGTGTGGGATCCTACGGAGCCCAGCAGCCCAGTGGCCACATGTGACGTGCCAGCGGGTGGGCGCGCACGTCTGCATGCTGCGCGTGGTGCCACGTTATGGGGCTGGGCATTGCTGCACCGTGTGCACACACGTGCACACAGCACAGCGGTGCCCGGCGCATTAACAAAGCACAACGTGCGGTACGCAGGCATGCGCGCCCCCTCGCTCGACAATGGTATTGCCTGCCGGGTGGCTGCTCAGCCAGCAGGCGTGGGCGCCTCGGCAGGCTCGCACCTGGCCGGGCGCGATGGTGCAGAGCTCGGGCGGCAGGATGACCTTGCCATTGCCCACCGCGATGCATGGCAGCTGCCTGTTGGTCAGCCTGTGATGCACAGGCAGGGCGGCGCCTCAATGGCAGCATCGCACAGGCGGCAAGGAGAAGGGTGGCGCAGTGAACGAGAGCCAGCCACCCTCAGCCAGCTGGCCATCCCCAGCCTGCGGCACCACGTCAAGTCAAGTGGGAGCCCCTCACTTGATGTTGTACTGCAGCAGGAAGTACTCTGCCACCGTCATCTCCTTGCCCGCCGCCTCATTCATGAACTTCTCCTGCCAGCGGGGCAGCAGGGAGGCAGGCTCGGCGGGACAGCCACCAGCAGTGCGAGCAAGAGGCAAGGCGGCACATCTATGTGTGCAGGGCTGCCAGGGTTGCCACTGCAGAGCCACGCCGCCAGCCCCACCCCACCTCAAAGGGCGAGCCGCGGCACACGGAGCGGATGGCTTTCTTGAACTGGTTGTGCTTGGCCTTGACCTGCAGGGCCCGCCAGCCAGGCCAGGGCAGCGGCTCACCACCTCTGTGCTGGCCCCCAGCAGCTCCCACCATGTAGCAGCAGCTTCCGCTGTCTCCAACCCGCAAGCCCCATCCCCCGGTGCATGCCTCCCAGCCCCGCCACGTCCCACCTTGACTCCCTTGAGGGCGCGGGTCAGGATGCGGGTCTGCACGGGGGTGGGCCCCCGCCCCTGCACATCCCCAATCTTCTCGTACCTGCTCGCTCAAGGGGGGCGGCGGCGGCGGCGGCGAGGTGGTGCAAGGTGGTGCCGGCAGTGCCGGGGCGCGAACGTGGCTGATGGGTCCTGGTGGAGCACCACCACAGCACTCCCCACCAGCACCACCACACGCCGCACCACCCTCCACCCCCCTCCACCCTCACATGTAGTCTGTGAGCTCCGAGGCCTCAAGCATGGCGGTGGCAGCCATGTCGATGTTGAGCGCCAGCCCGGTCTGCAGGCGGGGAGCGGGGAGTGGGGGTGAGGTGGGGGTGGGCATCGGGGGGCGGCGGCAGCCACCTGTTGGTTGCCGGCATGACCGAGAGCGGGCGCATCAGGATGGAGCAACCGGCAGCGCATGCTCCCTGGCAGGGATGCGCAGGGGAGGTGCAGCGGTAGCCTGGCAGCCGCGGCAGCCTGGCAGGCAGCCACCCACCTGGCAGGGGCGCAGGCTCTGCTGGTAGCCCAGCCACACCTCCGCGCCGCCGCCGATGGAGCGCACCTGCACAGGCCAGGGGGGGCCGTGCGGCACGCCAGGCCAGGCTTGCACCGGTGCCAACATGCACCCATGGGTGAGCCTGCTCGCCACGGCCCACCCAAGCAAGCAAGCAGGCATGCTGGCTCCACCCGGCCGCCTCACACCACACCCGCGGCCGCCCACTTGATCGTCGTGGAAGAAGAAAGCGCGGCCCACGGGCAGGCAGTCCCTGTTGTAGGAGGCGCGGTGCTTCAGCACCACATCCAGCGCCTGGATGGCGTGGTACGCCAGCTCCTCATCCTGACCCTTCTGCGGTACAGGTGGGCGGCAGGCGGGCATGCGGGCAGGCAGGCAGGTGGTGATACCGGCAGGCGGGCAGGTAGGCGGGCAGGTGGTGTATGCCGGGAGGCAGGAGCGCAGAGGCGCGCCGCGGCAGGGACCCCCGCCATCTCCCCGCCAGGCCGTGGGCAGGGCGCCAGGCTGCGGGCGGCTCACAGCGCAGCGCGTGCTCACCATGAAGGACTGCAGGGAGGCGATGGGGATGATGTCCACGCGGCGGATGACCACAGACAGGCGGCGCGGGCGGCCCTCACCCTCCAGCTCCACAGACACCTGCGGGGCGGCGGCTGGGGGTGGGTGGGTGGGATGTGGGGAGTAGCATGGGAGGGAGGGGTATGTGGGAGGATGGGAGGAAGGGGCCAGGCAGGCCAGCTGGAGGAGGCACGGCGTGGCACATGGCATGGCTGGGTGTGGTGTGGGCGGGGCCAAGGGCTCTGCAAGCGCCCCCTTGGACCCTGCCACTGCATGCCAGCGCTGGCTGGCGCGCGGCCGCTTGGCTGGCTGGAGGTGCGGGCGTACGCAGAGCGGGGCAGGGCAGGCAGTGCAGGCAGTGCAGGCGCAGGCGCAGGGGGGGCGCGCCTCGGCTTCCAGCGTGTCCCCAGGCACCAGCTCTGTGAAGGGTGCATACATGTTCTTGCGACCATCAAAGGCCCAGTAGCCTGCGGTGGCAGCAGTAGAGCAAGGGGCGGCAGCGGCAGGAGGGGAGTGAGTGGAGAGGTGCAGGCAGCAGGGGAGGGCCGGGGGAGTGGCAGGTGGGGCAGTGGGCAGGCCAGCAGTGGGCAGGGCTGCCGGGCCGTGCTTGGCCAGGCCGGCAAGGCTGCCCGAG